AGATGGCAGGTACCACTACTCACTCTCACTTGAGAATGAGATGTGAGAACTACAGGAAGGATATGTAGGGATTATCTGGAGAAAGTGGGAAGAAAGCATCCCAAGCAGAGGGAACAGCACACATGTAGGCCTGGGGGCTGGAAAGGCTGGTGGGGAAAGTCTGAAGCTGGACTTAGGAGCCCTGACAGGCTTGGGGGCAGGGCAGGGGTATTTGGGCTTTGTGTTGGAGGCCTTTTTTTTTTTTTTAAAGATTTTAATTATTTATTCATGAGAGACACAGAAAGAGGGACCGAGACATAGGCAGAGGGAGAATCAGGCTCCCCGTGGGGAGCCCAGTGGGGGACTTGATCCCAGGACCCCAGGATCAGGACCTGAGCCAAAGATAGATGCTCAACCACTGAGCCATCCAGGTGTCCCTATGTTGGAAATTTTAAATGAGCCAGCACCCTCGAGCCTCTACCTGGGCCCCTCTTCACAAGATGCATCCCATGTTGCACTGTTCTTCCTCTCTCACATGGGGTCGGCTCATACCCGGGCGGTGTGCTTCTTGCCTAGGACACGGACACGCCCTTCACTCTTGATATGTCCAAGTCCCCCTGGCCCTTTAAGGCCCAGCAACAGACGTGCCTTCTCCAGGAGCCACTCCAGGTCACTCCTTCCTAGGTGTCCCCAAAACCCCCAAGATCTGAGCTCTCCCATCTGGGCCCCATCCAGATAGCAGGAACTCAGACTTCAGCCCTGCCCTGAGACTGAAACCCCCAGGAAGCCCTCAGGGCTGCTCCCATGCTTGGGACAGACACCGGGATAGGGGTGACCATTGGGGGTTGTCCTAGGAACCCGGCAAAAGACTGGCTGCTGGGTTGAAGGCCAGGTCTCTTTGCCATCCTGGGCTCCAGCACCACTAAAATCAGATCAGAACGTCCCCCTCTGCAACTGGCACGAGCAACCCCCTAGCACAGACCTGAATAAGCAGTTGGTGCTCAATCTTTGCACCGCTGACCCTGTGTTAACCAGCGGTTCAAACCTAAATTTTCTCAGTCTGACACAGACTTTTGGCCCCAACTCAGTTTGCCACTCCCCTCACCTGTATAATGGGTTTGGGTGGGAGGTCAGTGCTCACACCTTCCAGGGTGCAAAGGGTCCTTCCTCACTCTGGCCATTTGTCCTCACAAGCTGGTGGCAAGTATGACCACGTTCTACTGAGCAGGCTCAGAGAGGAAAAGGGGTTTGTGAGTAGGGGCCACACAGTGAGCAGGGGCAAGGAAGAACCAGAACCTGGGTCTCACATGCCCAGGGCAGTGTTCTTCCCCAGCTCGAGCCAGTTCTCCCTCCCTCAGTTACCTTAGCTGCTCCCAATTGAAGCCTACCTCCTCCGGGTCACCCCTCCCCCCCATTACTGCCTCTCTACTGGAGCTGGCCTCTCTGGGACAAGGAGAAGCCACCTTACTTTCTCTGGCGATCCTAACAGCTGTTGAGTCTTGGTTTGGGAGTGAGGAGGGGTTGGAAGAGAATTTGGCACCAGCAGGGAGAATGTCACTCAGGTGAGTTTTCAGAGGCATCACCTCTATCCTCACAATCACTCCCAGTGGCTCTGAACCTGCCAGGTGGAAGGAGACACTGAGTGCTAAATGAAGGTATGTGGGAGGATCTGAGGGCATACAGTAGGTGTTCAATAAATGGTTTTGGAGAAAAGGAAGAAAGGGAAGGAGAGACAGAGAAGGTGACCAAATAAATGAGTGTGTAAGTGCATTGCCAGGTGGAGGGATGAACATGTCAGTGAATGAACTATTGAATGAATAGAGAAAGGAGGTATGGATGGGGGAGTGAGTGACTGGAAGGTGGCTCTGGGTATTACAGCTAAAGGCGGAGCACAAAGCTCTTTAATCACCAATGTGCCCATTTGGCAGATGAGAAGACTGAGATGGCTGAGGAGCGAGGAAGGTGCTGGGTCCGTGGGGGTGGCCTTTGAGCAGCAGCCTCTGGTTCTCCCTCACCTCTCTTTCTACCCCCTCACCACCCTCTTTCCTCTGCTGGGATGGGGAGGGTTCCAGGAAGGAGACCTTTTCTCCGCCTTCTTGCTCCTAGTTTCCGCCAGGCCTTAGTGTTGGGGGTGGCAGGGAGGGGGTGGCCCCCGCAGGGGCTATTTCAGTCAGAGACAGCTCTGCCAGGAAACAGAGGAAGCCACCCGCCCCATAAGAGGTGTTGCAGCTTGAGCTGAGGTCAGGAGAGTGGAGAGCCTCACGTCGGGCCTCCTCTAGGGCCAACGCATTTGAGGCCACCAAAGTTCTTCGGGGACAGGAGGCTGCTTGTGAATGTTGGTGCATCTTGACGCCATGGGCCAGCACAAGGTGGGCATAGGGGCTAGACACAAGGAACTGTGACTTTGGGCAGGCAGGCTGGGCCCAGCGCTGACCTAAAGGAGGTCCACAGGGTTGGGGGAAGGGAGGCAGAAGAAGGGACTCCACCCAGCTGGAGGACCAGAAGGGAAGAAGCAAGATTGGATCTGGAGCTGAATGGCCACTTAGTGTCTTGACAAAAAAAACATGGGGTGAATGGTGCTTTGTGTGGAGGGAACAGCAAAGATGGGGAGGCTGGAGAGGAAGTCTAGATCTCTGGCTTTGAATGATTGTGTGACAGTGGTGGTGTCTCAGGAACAGTGTGGCAGGATAGGAAGGGGCAGAGGGGCACAACAGGGGTGCTTTGGATGAGGCTGGGGGGCTTGGCAGGGAGATGGAATGTAGGAGTTTTAATTTTTCTTCAAAGGGCAAAGAGGGGTGCCTGGATGGCTCAGTTGGTTAGGTGTCTGCCTTAGGCTTGGGTCATGATCTCGGGGTCCTGGAATTGAGTCCTGCATTGCTCCTTGCTCAGTGAGGAGCCTGCTTCTCCCTGTCCCTCTGCCCTTCCCCCTGCTTGTGCTCACGCTCTCGCTCACTGTCAAATTAACTAATTAATTTTTAAAAGATGGCAGAGGGATGCAGGGAAGGATGGTTAGTGCCACTTGCTAGAAAGCCCCCCACCGTAGAGTAGCCAAAGCCCAGGACTCAAGGCCCAAAAATGAGCGACAGCTAGAGAAACTAGAGGACCCAGCTGCTGCTGAGAGGCAGGGACCAAAGGAAAAACCCTCCCTCAGGACCGGCCCCTGCCTCTCCTAGGTCCTCAGAAGGCAAGAATGCAGGAGGGAGCCAGGATGACAGCCGGGCCTCCTTTTCTCCTCATGCAGCCTCTGTTTCCTTCCAAGTGGACTAGTCTTATGAGGGAGTAGAGACCAAAAAGTATCTGGAGCCACCAATCACCTGAGGCAGAGGGCTCTCTCCTGGGGTGGTATGTGTGGACAGCAGGCCTCCCAAGAGAGAGTTCAGAGGCACAGCACTGCTCCTTCTACCTGCTTCTTCCTCCTCACCATGACCCTCTGCCCTAGCAGGCTGCTCTCCTCTCAAGCCCTGCCTATTTGAGAACACCCCTCTCCACCCAGGGATTTCCTCCTCAACCAGTTGGGTCATGCTCCATCCTTCATCCTCCTCTGAAAATCTCTTCTATCCTGTGGTTCACACTGGTCTCTATTCAGATTAGTATATGTATAATTTCTATATTTCCATCTATTTACCTACATCTGTGTTTATATACTGTGCCTTCACGTGTCCAGCAGGCAGTAAGTATGCATTTAAATGCCTGGCAAGGGGATCCCTGGGTGTCTCAGCAGTTTAGCGCCTGCCTCCGGCCCAGGGCATGATTCTGGAGTCCCAGGATCAAGTCCCACATCGGGCTCCCTGCATGGAGCCTGCTTCTCCCTCTGCCTGTGTCTCTGCCTCTCTCTCTCTCTCTCTCTCTTATAAATAAATAAATAAAATCTTTAAAAAAATAAAAATAAAATAATAAATGCCTGGCAGGTAGGGGCGCCTGGGTGGCTCAGTTGGTTGGGCCTCTGCCTTCAGCTTGGGTCATGATCCCTGGATCCTGGGATCGAATCCTACACTGGGCTCCCTGCTTGGTGGGGAGTCTGCTTCTCTCTTTCCCTCTCCTGTTCCCCCTGCTTGTGCTCTCTCTCTGTCAAATAAATAAATAAAATAAAAATAAATAAATAAAAGCCTACCAGGTGAAAACAGGAGACTGAATCCAATGAGGAGATGAGTAAATGAACTTTCTCTGCCTGTGGTAATCTTAGCTTCTTGGCTACAATGGGGGGCCTGCAATGCTTCTGCCTCTGGCTTCTTCCCAGGCCTAACTGACTAGCTGGGCACCCAGCACTCCTAGCACATGGGCTGAAGCCCCACAGAGGATTTTTCATAATTAAAGGTAATATGCCATGTGGGATACAGACTCCAAACCTCATTTTGCAGTTGCCCCGAATCTGGGAAAAATATATCAAAATCAAATTTTAAGTTGGAAGAAATTGGTTTGAATAGTTATGTTTTGTTCTAACATAACTTTTAAAACTCTCATAACTTGACTTAGCAGGGTGTATTCACATTAAGAATGTGACCCTCTTGCTAACACTTGCCCTGTGCCAGGCACTGATCTTCAAAACAACCCTATGAAGCAGGTGTTATATGATCCCATTTTATAGATGGGGAAACCAAAGCACGGTCATTCAGTAATGAGCATAAGGCCCCCAGTTTACATGTAATGGAGCTGGGATTTGAACCTGGGCATCTGGACCAGAGCCCATGTCTTGGCCTCAACCCTCTATCACCCTCTGTGTGCATTTGCAGGACTTCATATTTTTTCCTTAGCTTCAGTTTTTCCCATCTAAAAATAGGCCGGGGTGGTGGGGGGAATGCCTCGGTGGCTCAGTAGTTGGGCACTTGCCTTCAGCTCAGGGTGTGATCCCAGGGCCCTGGGATTGAGTCCCACATCAGGCTCCCCACAGGGAGCCTGCTTCTCCCTCTGCCTGTGTCTCTGCCTCTCTCTCTGTGTCTCTCATGAATAAATAAATAAAATCTTCTAAAAAAAAAGAATACAGAGGGGGATGATCCAACTATTTCAAAGGCTTTGTCTTACAGGTCCACTGGATTTAAGTTGTGAATTCTCTCTGGACACCAGTAAATATGGACATGCCAGTTGGGAGGTAAGTATCAAGAGGTCAGACTTACCTCACCAGGGAACCCCTTAAGGCACTTGTGCTAATGACTCCCTCAAAACCTAGCCTGAGGGATGCATGGCAGGATGAGGCATTGAATACAACAGCATAGCATGGCATTTATTAAGCACCTATTGTATATCAGGCCTATCACATGTTTTACTGATAAAAACACAGACCCAGAAACGGCAAGTGACAGCCCTTGGATTGAACAGCATAGAAGTAGGGGATCCAGGATTTGAATGAGGCTTGCCTAGCTCTGAAGTTGGGTTTATAACCTCTACATTCTATGTCCATGAGGTACACTAAGTTGCACCCACACAGTCAGATGGCTGGGTTCTGGTCCTGGTTCTGCTTCTAACTCAGTAAGATTGAACCATCACTGCCACTCACTGTGGTGTATTTTCCTCTCTATAAAAAGCAAGCAGTTGGGGTGCCTTCCCAGCTGAGTCGGTGGAGCGCAGGACTCTTGGTCTCAAGGTTGTGAGTTTGAGCCCTAGGTTGGGTGTGGAGATTATTTAAAAAGAAAATCTTAAAAAAAAAAAAAAAAAAAGCAGTAGATTTGGCTAGTCCTCAGCCATTTGCCTTCAGGGAAGCGGTTTTCACTCTAGCCACCAGGGGGTGCTGTGGCCCATTGGCTCCACCAGACAGGCATTTGTAGCCTCAAGTCAAGTGGAGGGAGGCTTAGGAAACTCCTGAATCACTTTCTTACCCCATTTTACAGATAAGAAGATCGCAGCCAAAAGAAGGACCATGGCTTTGGAAGGTGGAGTTCAGGCTGAGGAGGTGGGCGCTGTCTTTTTGTCAGTTCACGGTGTGTGGACATTCTGCTCATGTTGCTTAATTCAGAATTACCAGGGCCTTTTCTTCCCTAGGCCCCAGCCTGGGCTCTTAGACACAGAGGGGCATCAGACCTGGCACTTCCTTTCAGGAGGTTCCCTGTCAGTGTAGGAGAGACAGACAGGCAGGCTCATCATGACCATAATCTCCAAACCCTAAAAAGTTCAGGGGGAAGCCCTGCATAGCTTGATTTAGTACCTCTAATCTCATATCATCCTAAGACATGGGTGTATCATTCCCCCATTTTTTTAGATAGGAAAACTGAGACTCAGATAAGGTATATCACTAGCCCAAGGTCACATAGCTCGTAAGTAGCATAGGTGAGACTCAAACTAAAGTCTGTCTAGATACCTGGCTGGCTTAGTCAGAAGAGTATGTGACTCTTGATCTTAGAGTCAAGTGTATCTACACCCATGCTGGGTATGAAGATTACTTGAAATATAAAACTTCTTTAAAAAAAATATTTAAGGGCAGCCCAGGTGGCTCAGCGGTTTAGCACCACCTTCTGCCCAGGGTGGGATCCCGGAGACCCGGGATGGAGTCCCTCGTCAGGCTCCCTGCATGCAGCTTCTCCCTCTGCCTGTGTCTCTGCCTCTCCCTCTCTCTCTGTCCCTCATGAAAAAATAAATAAAATCTTAAAATATATATATTAAAAAAAAAACAAAAAATCTAAAGTCTGTCAATCTCCACTTAAGAGTAGACATTTGACTAGGGTTTTGAAGGATAACAGAAGTTTACCAGGAAGCTTGGTGGGAAATGAATATTATAGAAAGTGAATTGGATTTTTCCCAAGCTTGAGCTTTATTGTATCCCAGGTTTCCTTAAAGTGAGGGTTGTGTGGGGCCTCCATGGGGTGGTGAGTATCAGAGATGGTTCAGGTGGAGATCAGGGCCCAGAGAGGGACAGGGGCCTACTGGATGATAGTGGGTGTGGTTACTGACAAGCTGTGTGTTGCTTCCCCAGCCTCTCTGGATGTAGGAAGCATAATCGGGCAGCCATGGAGTGGGACAATGGTACAGGCCAGGCCTTGGGCTCCCCGCCCACTACCTGCGTCTACCGAGAAAACTTCAAGAGACTACTACTGCCACCTGTGTACTCAGTGGTGCTGGCAGCTGGCCTGCCACTGAATGCCTGCGTCATTGCCCAGATTTGCACATCCCGCCGGGCCCTGACCCGCACAGCCGTGTACACCCTGAACCTGGCCCTGGCTGACCTGCTCTATGCCTGCTCCCTGCCCCTGCTCATCTACAACTATGCCCAAGGTGACCACTGGCCCTTTGGCGACCTCGCCTGCCGCCTGGTCCGCTTCCTCTTTTACGCCAACCTACATGGCAGCATTCTCTTCCTCACCTGCATCAGTTTCCAGCGTTACCTGGGCATCTGCTACCCACTGGCCCCCTGGCACAAGCGTGGGGGCCGCCGCGCTGCCTGGCTAGTATGTGGGGCCGTGTGGCTGGCTGTGACGACCCAGTGCCTGCCCACAGCGCTCTTTGCCTCCACAGGCATCCAGCGTAATCGCACCGTCTGCTACGACCTGAGCGCACCTGCCCTGGCCACTCGCTATATGCCCTATGGCATGGCCCTCACCGTCATCGGCTTTCTGCTGCCCTTTATCGCCCTACTGGCTTGCTACTGCCGCCTGGCCCATCGTCTGTGCCGCCAGGACGGCCCAGCAGGGCCCGTGGCCCAGGAACGACGTGGCAAGGCAGCCCGCATGGCTATGGTGGTGGCAGCCGCCTTTGCCATCAGCTTCCTGCCCTTCCATGTTACCAAGACAGCCTACCTGGCAGTGCGCTCTACACCCGGTGTCCCCTGCCCCGTGCTGGAGGCCTTTGCAGCTGCCTACAAAGGCACGCGGCCCTTTGCCAGTGCCAACAGTGTGCTGGATCCCATTCTCTTCTACTTCACTCAGAAGAAGTTCCGCCGGCGGCCACATGAGCTGCTCCAGAAACTCACAGCCAAGTGGCAGCGATAGGGTCACTGAGTCCACTGGGGCAGGACACCTGGGGCCGGGGCACTGAAAGCCCTACCAACCCCAAACCGTGCACAGAATTAAAGCTTAACTCAGCTGGGCATAGAGTGCGGTCCCCTACAGGCTCCAAAATCTCACCAATGACTATTTATTGAGCCCTTGCTCTGGGCCAGGCCCTGTGGACATAGAGACAAGCTCTCCAGAATGTCCCAGCAAGGCCCCGAGAATCAGGAAAGCCATGTTAAGCTGCTCACAAAAATATAGTGTGGCGTGTACTATAACTGAGGAGTATGCCGTATGCTTTGGAGTCACCAATACGGGGAGTGAGGGAAGATGGGAAGGGGAGTGAAGTTTCTGGGAAGGAGCATTTGAGCTGGATTTTGAGGGGATGAATATTGAATTCCCTGGAAGTGTGTGATGTTCCTTTCATTCAGCAAACCTTTACCTATACCTTGTCCTTGGGTCTGGGTTGATTTTGTGGTCCCAGGAGAACTAAACCCAGCCCTGTCCCATATAGGTTCCCAACTACTGGACATACAGACCCTTGACACAGTGATGCCAAGGCTGTGACAGAGGGAAGTATGGCTGAGGGACAGGGTAAACAGAGGATGGAGAATGCCCATGATGCAGTCCAGGGAGTCAGGAACGATCTCTTGGGGTGGGGATAGGGGGCATCTGAACCAGATATTGAAGGCTGAGTGGATGGTCAGCAAATAGCATTGGGGAGCATGTTCCTACAGCCTGGGCCAGCTATATGCAAGACTCTGCCCTGAGGCAGATGAGTAGAGAGAGCTGGAGTGAGGGGCAGGCAATATGACCTCCTATGTGTGAAAACTGAGAAAACAAGAACTGTCCCATGGCCACCTTCCTCTAGACAGTGACAAGAGTGGTCCAGATGCTCCAGGCTGGGGGGGGCTCAGCAGAGGGAGGAATTAGGGAGAGCTTCTTCAAAGAAGTGGAGGTTGAGCTGGGGAGGAATCCAAAAGGCAGAGGGAAGGCTGCTCCTGGTGGAAAGCCCTGTATGTATACAAAACCCAGAGGTAGAGATGTACTGAATCTGGCTATAAATCAATAGTGAGTTTCAATTAAGCCAGGGGTGGGGCGGGGGAGGGGGGGAGTGGGGGGGTGTAACCAGAGCACTAAATGCCAGTAAGAGCTCCAGATCCCACTTTTCCTCCACCCACCTCTTCAAATATGCCTCTTTCAGCCTCAGGGTATCCTGGGTGCCTGAGGACCCCTCCACTAGGCCCCCCAAGTGAGGGGAAATAGCCCTTCAACATTGCTTCATTTTAGAAGAAGTCAAAAGCTTGAAGAGACTCAGGGCCACCAGAAGGCTGCAACATGGAGGTGCAGAGGTTCTGTAGCCGGGAGCCTGCCAATCAGTCTCAAGACAGACTGTTTCATGGGTTCTGCTCCTGCCCTCTCAGCTCCATCATTCTGGCCCATTGGTGCCTGGAAGCTGCTGGAGGCCATCTCATGGAGGCAAACACAGAGCTGAGCCTTCAAAAGCTCTGGAAAGACATCTTCACTGAAGATCTCTGAGGAGGCAATGAAGGAGATTCTACTACACAAGGCCTCTCTATCTGCTCTTCCCGCCCACCCCTCCTTCCAGCCCCACCCATACAGCTCCTTGTCCTCTTGGCTCCTTTCCTTCATATCTCCATCACCCCACCCACCCCATTCCCCCTCACTTCTTCTCTGGTCCTCGTTCCCTCCCCTCTTAGCTTTCTCCTGTAGAACAATCTAGGTTGCCCTTGGCTGCTGGTGTACCATGCCGACCCTGTATGGGAACCAACCTAGAAGGTAGAGGGGAGAGAGGGCAGGGCAGAGAGACAGAGCAGGAAAGGCAAGGACTGCATAACTTAGTATTTTTCTTTTAGCTCTCTCTAATCCCCCAGGCTGTTGGGCCATGAAGCCATTGAGAGACAGACTCTGCTAGAGTTAAACTCCATAGTCATGTTGGAGGCATGCTTACAGCTGGCTGAGGAAGTGGGAAAACCAGACCCAACCCATCTTGGGAATCCATCAGAAGTGTTCTCCAGAAGAGGCTGATAATTTGGACAGAAGGAGCTTTGATTCTTTAAGTCGCAGTGAAAAGATGTACGGAAATGTCAGAAGACGTCTATTCCCTATGGGATGCAATGCCTTGCCAAGTAGTACAAATATCAGCTACCTTGTGTCTTGTTCCGAGTCTGAGACCAGACTCGTCATCAGTTGCCTGTCCCGGAGGTGCTGGGGAGTAGGAGAGCAGAAGGCAGAGGGTTTCTGCCCACAGTGCCTGCTGAGCCCTGCAGAGTCCTAGCAGACTGCCAAGAACTGTGACCCTTTGGTTACTTTTCCAAGAGTGAAAACTGTGGGCCACAGGTAAATTTCATTCCCAGCTTCTCTTTGTGAGGCGTAATAGGATAAAGGGTAGAGACTCCAGTCAGGTCATCTTGGTGTTTATCTTGGCTCTACCCCCTTTGTAGCTGTGTTACTCTGGGCACATTATTTAGCCTCTTTGTACTTTAACTTCCCCAGCTGTAAAATGGTAATAGTAATGATATCTATCTTGTAAAGTGGTTGTGAGGATTAATGTGTGCAAAACACTTAGAATAATGCCTGGAATATAGTAAGCATGCAAGGCATGTTACTATTACAATGATCTTGCCTTTTGTGCACACAAGTTCCTCCAGCATCTCTCTCTAGCAATTGGCCTAGGAGGTTTCTAAACAAGGGGCTTTGAGCAGGGGGTTTCTCCTTTTCCTTCACCTGGTAGGCAGCTGATCTTTTAAGAAAAACAAAACAAAACAAAAAAAAACCTCAAGCACACTTTTTACAGAACAAGGGCAGTAATCCATGAGCCCCATCTGTTCCTATAAGGAGGAAAAATCATCTATTACATGCCAGTATGAGGGACTCTGAATGCTCCCTTCCTTTTCCCTCCTTTTGTCCCCACCCCTCACTCTCCTCACTTTAACTCAGAGCGAACTCAGTGATGGGGGATCACACTGGGGATGTCTACTTACTGGGGTGCAGAGGGGACATAGACTGAGGCATGGGGGTAGCGTGTGGTGAGGGGTTGGGAAAGCATATGGGTTCATAGGGGTCCAAGGTGATTCACTATGGCTTGGGGAAGACTTCTTGGGGAGTGGAGCAGTGCAGCTGGGGCTTGAAGGATGGATTTGTAATCAGATGGAAGAAGAGAGGGCCAGGTCGTTCTGGTGCAGGGAACAGCACAGCCCGAAGCGGGGAGGGTGTTGGAGGACTGATAAGAATTGTGGCCTGAGATCAGGCTGGAGAGCTGGTGGTCAAAGGCTTGGTGCCAGTCCAGGGAAGCACTGGGGAGCCACAACAATGACAGCAGTGGCCATTTGCTGGGCTCTGCAGGTTCTAGGCACCATTTCTCACGGAGTCCTTACAACACCCCCAATTACAGATGGGGAAACTGAGGCCTGGATGTGGGAATTGACATGTCAAGGTCACACAGCCTTTCTCTAACAAATACTAGACATCCCCCTCCACCCGCCCTCCCTTCTCTTCCCTTTCCTTTATTCACTTGCCTTCCAAGTGACCACCTGCCTCAGCCAGTCCCAGTAACTGGAGACCCCCTAGGAAGTTCTGACAGAGACAGCTAAATGCCAACCGCAATATCAACTCTTTTTTAATTGGGCACAAGGTCTCCTAGGATGAAAACTTCATTTCCCAGGCTTACTGGCAGCTAAGTATGACCAGGTAATTTAATCCTGGGCAATGGGAGATAAGCAAAGTACCCTAAGGCAGTTTAATACAGGGAGGGGGTGAATGTCTTTAAAAGATAGGTAGTGTCAGGATCTCTGGGTGGCGCAACGGTTTGGCACCTGCCTTTGGCCCAGGGCGCGATCCTGGAGGCCCAGGATCGAATCCCACGTCGGGCTCCCGGTGCATGGAGCCTGCTTCTCCCTCTGCCTATGTCTCTGCCTCTCTCTCTCTGTGACTATCATAAATAAATAAATAAAAAATGCCTTTAAAAAATTAAAAAAAAAAAGATAGGTAGTGTCTGTCCTTTGCCTCCCCATCCTTCTTACTGCTTACAATGGGGACATCACAGCTGAAGCACCATCTTGGACCATGAGAAGCAGCTCAGGTTTCTGACTGTTCTGGTCTGGGACCACCTAAATCTGGACTTCTGCACAAGAGAGAAATAAATGTCTATCTTTTTTAAGTCACTAGTTTTTCAGGCCTTTGTTACCCACAGCCAAAGGAATCCCTTTACTTGGGTACTATCCTGAGATGATGGACATAGGCGGAGGCCAGGCACTGTCCTGGACTGGAGTGGGGGCCAGGGTCTAGCCTGGTGTGAGCTGGAAATACCTGGAAAGGCTTAGAAAAGTTGAAAAGCTTGGGGAGTGGTCATGCTGCTTTTGCTGGAGGCTGAGGGGGTGGATGGGTTTCCGGAGAGAGAAAGAAGGGCTGGAGAGAACCTGGGAACTCCATTAAGGGGCTGGGCAGGAGGAGGAGCTGTAGAGGTGGAAGGTCAAAGCCTGGAAGTTTCTGAATGATGGTGGCAGTGGAGGTGGGTGAGTGAGGGCGTAGCAGGAGGGGAGGAAGTGGAGGTGATGGGTAGAAGAGAGAAGAACATTCCCAGGGAGGCTAGGCACAGGGAAGGTGTTTCTATGACAGGAGACCTGTGATTGTTGGCTGTTGTAGGTTGAGGACAGGGGCAGGGCCAAAGATGGAGTAGCCAGAGAGTCAGGAACCAGGGTTTGACCTTTCCAATTTGGAAAAGCCCAGGGGCACTGGATCTGTCCTAACAAGAGATGCAGCCTTCTCCTCCCTCCCTCATTCATTTGTTCAACACACATCCTCTAGGCTCCTCCAAGATGGCGATGGCAACACAGTAGCAGCTCAGACCCAGACCCTACTCTCAGAAAGAATCTGGGGTGAGGGTAGGGGTACAGACAAGGAAACAGTTCATCCAGTAAACAACATTAATTGAGCACCTATTACATGCCAGGCATTGTGCTGAGAAGTGGGTTCCTGTCCTCAGGGAGCTCCTAGTCTGATGGAGGAGAATGGCAATAATGAAATAAACAAACACCCTGGATCATGCCCATTGGGGAGGAGAGCTCAGAAGAACTATAAAGAGGGGTAGGGGATGGGGCACCTGGGTGGCTCAGTCCATTGAGCTTCAGACTCTTGGGGTTGAGCATATGACTCTTGGTTTCAGCTAGAGTCATGATCTCAGGGTCATCGGATCGAGTCCAACTTCAGGCTCCATGTTCAGTGGGGAGTCTCCTGGAGATTCTCTCCCTCACCCTCTGTCTACCCCCTATTCTCCAAAAAAATAAATGAATAAATAAATCTTTTAAAAAGGAAAGAGGGCTGGGGGCAAGGAAGGCCTGACTAGGGAGACTATAAGCTCATGTAATGGTCAGGGGCTGAGAGATGCTCGGGACCAGGGGGGCTTTGCCTCAGCTTGAGGGGCAGAGGAGCCTTCTTAACTGAAGGTAAGCTAATTAGCTCAGTGCAGAAGGGCTGTTACTGACTCCATGACTTTGAACAAGACTGTTTACTTCTCTAAGCCTCTGCTTCCTTACCTACAAAACAGCAATAATACTAACCAGCCCCCTCCCTAAGCCACCAACGGTATCGAGCATGGAAAAATTAGGGCAGAATTATCATTAAGCACAAAAAGTATGATAATGCAATAGAAGAGGCACAAACAGGCACTTTACATAAAAGGAAGCACAAATAATTAAAAAACAACAAAAACAAAAACAGAGAAAGAGATTTGATCCTAGCTTGATAATGCCTCCTGGATGTTGAGTAGTCACATGGCCCGTTACCTTGAGCACTCCTGCGCCTGTGGGAGTCAGGCACCGTGCTCAGAGCAGCACCATTCACAAAAGCAAACACCTGGAAACACCCAAATGCCCGTCCATGACAGACTGGATGAATACACTGTGCTATATTCCCACATTGGAATATTATCTCCCACGCAGCCAGAATGCCCTTTACCGACATGTGACAATATGGATAAATCTAGCAGTATAATATTAAGTACAAAGAAATCTCAAGAGGGGCACCTGGGTGGCTCAGTGGTTGAGTGTCTGCCTTCGGCTCAGGGTGTGATCCTGGGGTCCTGGGATCAAGTCCTGCATTTGGCCCCCAGCAGACAGCCTGCTTCTCCCTCTGCCTATGTCTCTGCCTCTCTCTGTGTGTCTCTCATGAATAAATAAAATCTTTAAAAACAAAACAAATCTCAAGTAAACTGTACACAGCAAGATGCCCTTTTTATAAAGTTAAAAAGACAACAAAAATGAAAATACATACTTTGGAGGAATACACAGATGCAACAAAACTATACAAAAAGGAAGCAAGGGCATGCTGAGCACAGGAGAAAATAGTTATCCTGGGTGGTACGGCAGCAGGAGAAGGGGTTAGGGAAGCTAGATAATGAGATGTAGGAGATCGTCAAAGTCCTAATTGTTTTGTTTTGTGGTGGGAGCCAATTAAATAAGTGGTGAGAATATGCCATGAACAAAAAGTCATAAATAATTCAATTCTGTGCGTTTGAGGGCTAATTATACAGGAAAGGGGACACTCTCAGGTCATTTCTAATTGACTTGGGAATGGAGTCAAGAGCCCAATTCCCCCCTAAGACAGTTCCTTCCTGGGGCTTACTACTTCTTGGGAGTCCTCTATTCCTCATCTTTCTCCCTCTTAAGTACCCAAGGTCCATCATTGGCCATGACTGTGATCATCACGACCTTACTATCTTGATTTCTCTAAGGGACCTACAGCCCTGATCTTGCTGGGTCACCGTGAGTCACTGGGTAGATGGGGTTGTTTTCATGTCCCTTTCATAGGCGAGGAGCCTAAGTCCCAAAGGAAGAGAGCGACCTGCTGAGGGTCACCTGGCGTGTCTGTGAGGGTGCCTGCATTGGGCCCAGCTCTAGACTCCCAGCACAGTGTCCTCCTCTCCATCTTGATGCCCCATGTTTCCAGCTACCTCCTAGATAAGTCTTTGAAGGGCTAAACACAACCAGGCCCCCTCGGTACCTGGGAGATGACTTTGTCTCATCATGAATCAGAAGCAACCGAGGCTGGGAGGACTCAGGAGGTGCTGGAAGCAGCCAAGCCACTCTCTGATTGGGTGAGTGTTGCATTGGGTGGAGGTCCAGCCTAGATCGTTAGACACTCTCCCTCCCCACCAAGGGGAATTCCTGATCCAAAGTCCTCAGTCAGCCCCACTCAAGGCCAAGCTGCAGGATGCTGAGGTGACCTGAGTCCCTGCTCCTCTCCATCAGTTTACCCATCTGTGACATGGGTATAAAAACCTCTATTCCAGAAGTGATATGAAGACAAAATAGGATACGAAAGAGTTTGAACAAGTACAAATTTCAGGTGGTAGGGACCATTGTTAATGGAGGAAAGCAGTGATTCACAGAATGAGGGTCCCCCCACAATACCAAAACTTCCCCCAAAAGAGTAGAAAAACACTTCAGAGGAAACAAGAGTCTGACTTCAAATAGAGTCAGAGAGGCACCTTTGGGTAAATCTAGACCCACTCCTCACTTTTCAGATGAGGCACCCGAGGCCCGGGGAAGTGTAAGGATACACACAAGGTCACACAGCAAGGCAAAGGTAGAGAGCAATAGGCCAGGAGGGTTCTCTTTCTTGCCATCAATTCCCCAGTGAAGGAGAGATGTACTTTTGAGGCAGAGCTGAGACAAAGTTGAGGTGAGGGACTTAGAGGAGGCTGGTCTCAACTCAAAGAGAAAGAATTTTCTCCCTACAGTGATTTGCCACAACCCAGGGGAAGCAAAAGGCAAGGCCCATGGTCAATCAATCCCATAGTGTCTACCATCTTGCCCTAGGCCCATCCCTGTCCCTCTGATCTGGACCAGGGCCTCCTGCTCCCAGAGCCTGCCAGACTAGTCAGGTCTAGCCACAGTCCTCTTGGGCCGAGGGGAGTGTGAGTCAGACCACGCTATTCTCTTTCTGGGGAAGGCGAGCTTAGCCCCAAGGAGAACGAAGAGGCTGCTGGGGGCTCAAGGAGAGAGAACCCCTTCTTCATCAGGGATCTGGGGCCAGTGAAGACTGGAGGAGCATGGTGTTTGAAGGTCCTCAAATCTGAATTTGAGTCATAGAAGGCACTGCCATTTCCTGACTTTGGCAATGGTCAAAGTTACATCTCCTTCATGACCCATAGAGAAGAGGCAATATTATTTACCTACAGGGTGGTTCTAGGATTAAATAAAATGAATGAAATAATATTACGCATATATCCAACGCACTCCATAAATTCCCATTGGCTCATTCAGATGTCAAGGAGCCACCTTGCACTTAAGCTGGGACTGAGGATGAATGGGACCTCCCAGAGGCAGGTGGAGGTGGGGAAGGCCCCAGTACCCGGTACAATGGGAGACTTGCCAGACTGGGGCAGAGGTGAAGGCCAGCTCAGCGGCAGGATCAGCTTGCAGTAGGAGAGGCGACCCATTCGTTTTGTTAGGAGGGTGGAGGGCCACAGGTAGGTGTGTCGGTTTGGCAGCGGCAAGTCGTTTCAGTTGGAGCTCCTTTTGTGTGTGAGGCTGAAGGGACTTTGCGAAGGGAGTAGGCTAGAAACGGCTCTTGAAGGGATTAGGAAAGGACTGAAAGGAAGTAAAGGAAACGAAGTCTTCCCAACCCTCCCGTTTTTTGGCGAGGGGTATTGCTTTACCTGTCCTGGACTCCATGGGATGGGCGAATCCGGCCGGTAGAGGGCGTAAGAGCCGCGTATCAAGGAGCTCAGGAGGCGGGGCATCGAGGAGGGGCCTCGGAGGTGGCGGGGGCAGGTGGAGGGGCGAGCCTAGGGTGGGCAGCTGGAAACTTGCGGGCGGGCGGGGGCGTGGCCACGAAGGGTGGAGCACCTGGAGCGCCGTGGGAGGGTCAGAGCTGGACCTGCCGCCGAGGTAAGAGGGGCGGGGCCTTGGGGGCGCGAGAGGCTGGACGCGGTCCGGGGGGCTGTGGGCTTCACCGCGGAGGGCGGGGTGGGGGCGTGGCTGGGGCGTGGCTGGGGCGGGGCCTGGGCGGGGCGGAGGGGTGGAGCCCAGGTCCGCCTGTGGCCCCCACGGCTCCCCCTGGCGGCGAGTCCCGCCCCCTTCCCGCGGGAAGAGTGCTTCTGGGCGTACCTGACTGTCGGTGTGTACCAGTTTACGGGTCGGAGGTTGCCATGTTGGGGTTCCTTGGACAGAAGGTGTTGCCGCACAAAAGCGTCTGACCCGCGGTGGGGGCGCAGCCTCGGCTGTACGTCGGCAGAGCTGACCACACGCAGAGGTTTCGTGCGTCGGAGCGAGTCCCGCGGGGGGGCAGCTCCGCCGCTCGGCTCCAGAGGGGACCTCCAGAGGGTCGCTCCGGTCCGCGTGTGCTCCCGCAGTCTTGTTTCTCTCCTTCGACTCCACCCCGATTCCCTCCCCCGCCCCAAATCCCGATTCCCTTCCTCGCGCGCGCCCGGAGCCCACCCCCTCTTTTGGGCGCGAGGCCCCGCCTCCCGCCCCCTTTCCTCAGCCACAAAGTTTATTTGCAACAAAAGGGAGCGCGGAGCGAGCAGCCGAGAGGGAGGGAGCGGGGGCCGGAGCGGGAGCGGGAGCGGGAGCGGGAGCGCGAGGGGAGGCAGGCGGGCCGGCTGGCGGGCACCGAGCCGACGAGCGGAGCCCTGGGATCCTGCCCGGCCCGGGCCGGGCCGCGATGCTCCGAGTCGCAGCCGCCGAAGAGGGGGCCGGTCCCGGGGGTCGGCGCTGAGGCGGGAGGGCCGGCGCTGGATGCAGCGGATGCGGCCCGCGGCCTCGGAAACTTGAGCCGCGGCCGATAAACCTCTGCTCGGAGTCTCTGCGTCCTCTCTCTCCCCGCAAACCCCTTCACACTGCGGCTGCGGGAGCCCGGCCGTCGGAACCCGGCTGCTGCGCTCCTCCGGGGCGAGGGCGCGCAGGGGGGGTTGGCCGCGGCTCCCCGAGGCCGGCCCCCCCAGAGTGGGCGCTGCACCATGGCGGACGGGGCGCCCCGCTCCCCGCTCTACCGCAGCGTCTCCTTCAAGCTGCTGGAACGCTGGAGCGGCGGGCCCGGGCCGAAGGAGGAGGCCTCGGACACCCCCGGGCTGCGGCGCCGCGCCTCGTGCCGGCCAGCCGCGTCGGTCCCGGGCCAGCCCTCCCGGCGCGTGTCCAAACTGGCGTCGGGGCCCCCGGCCGCCCCCGCGCAGCCGCGCCCGCTCCGCAGCCTCTCGCCGTCGGTGCGGCAGCTCTCCCGGCGCTTCGACGCGCCGCGCCCGGACGACGACCACGCGGGGGCCCGAGACGGGGGCGTCTCCCCCGGGGCCGCGGAAGAAGCGGCGGAGGGCGCGGCGCGCGGGGCCTGGCCCAGCGTCACCGAGATGCGCAAGCTCTTTGGGGGCCCCGGCTCCAGGCGGGCCAGCGCCGACTCCGAGGCCTCGGGGACGCCCAGCCCCGACGGCGCAGGGTGGGAGCCCCCGGCTCGCGAACCCCGGCAGCCACCGACGCCACCTCCTCGGACGTGCTTCCCCCTGGCGGGGCTGCGTTCCGCGCGGCCGCTGCCCGGCCCGGGGACCGAGGGGAGGAGGCGGCGGCAGCAGCAGCAGCAGCAGCAGCAGCAACAGGAGCGGGCGCAGCGTCCGGCGGATGGTTTACATTCTTGGCATAGCTTCTCCCAACCGCAGGCCGGGGCCCGGGCCTCCTGCTCCTGCTCCTCCTCCATCGCCTCCTCCTATCCTGTCAGCCGCGGCCGGGCTGCCAGCTCCAGCGAGGAGGAAGAGGAGGGCCCGCCGCCGCCGCCGCCCGGGGCTCAGAGTCCGGCCTACCACGGAGGCCACTCCTCGGGCAGTGACGAGGACCGAGACGGTGAGGGCGGCCACCGCTGGGGAGGGAAGCCGGGACCCAGGCCTGGAAGCTCCCTCTCGGATAAGAACTGTAGGCCAGACAGTTATGGGTTAAATCTGGGCAGCATGGACTCAGCAGGGGGAGCCAGGAGTCCGGAGCCCCCCAAGTCTCCAAGAGCCGCTAGTGAGGAAGGACCCCCGGAGTGGGGTACTGGCTCACCTCCCTGTGTACCAGGTCCTCAGGAGGGACTCCGGCCCATGTCTGACACTGTGGGGGGAGCTTTCCGTGTGGCCAAGGTGAGCTTTCCTGCATACCTAGCCAGTCCGGCAGGCTCCCGCGGCAGCAGCCGTTATTCCAGCACAGAGACCCTCAAGGACGAAGACCCATGGGCGAGTCGGGGTTCTGGGGGCTGGGGCATGTATCGCTCCCCTAGCTTTGGAGCTGGAGAAGGGCTTCTCCTAAGGCCCCAGCCTCGAATCCGCACCAAGGGGGCTGTGGGCACTACGAGGGCATTGAGAGATGGAGGACTGGAGTTGGACCAGAGCCGGCAGCGCAAGTCCCTGTCGAATCCAGATATTGCGTCGGAGACCCTGACACTGCTCAGTTTCCTTCGCTCAGATCTCTCAGAGCTGCGGGTCCGAAAGCCCGGTGGGCGCCCCAGTGACCTTGGGAGCAGCCCCTTAGATGGCAGAGACTCACCATCAGCAGGTGGCCCTGGGGCACAACTTGGACCTGTGCCTGCTCCAGCTCCTGCATCACCTGGCACCCGCCCCACACTCAAAGACTTGACGGCCACCCTGCGGAGGGCAAAGTCTTTTACTTGCTCTGAGAAGCCCATGGCCCGACGCCTATGCCGCACCAGTACCCTGAAGCCCAGCTCCTCTGAGCTCCTGCTGGCAGGCCCCAGTGCCGAGGAGGACCCACTGCCCCTCGTTGTCCAGGATCAGTATGTACAGGAGGCCCGTCAGGTTTTTGAGAAGATCCAGCGGATGGGTGCCCAGCAGGATGACGGCAGTGATGTGCCCCCTGGAAGCCCTGACTGGGCAGGAGACGTGACCCAAGGGCAGCGGTCCCAGGAGGAGCTCTCTGGCCCTGAGTCTAGCCTGACAGATGAGGGCATTGGGGCAGACCCTGAGCCTCTGGTTTCAGCCTTTTGCAGCCTGGGTACCACAGGGGTGTGGCGACCCCTTTCCTCATCCTCAGCCCAGACCAACCACCATGGCCCTGGGGCAGAAGATAGTCTGGGAGGATGGGCCCTGGTGTCCCCTGACACCCCTCCCACACCAGGTGCCCTCCGACGGAGACGCAAAGTCCCTCCTTCAGGCCCTGGTGGGACTGAATTGAGCAATGGGGAGGCGGGTGAGGCCTACCGGTCTCTGAGTGACCCAATTCCACAGCGCCACCGGGCCGCCACCTCTGAGGAGCCCTCTGGGTTCTCCGTGGATAGCAACCTTTTAGGCTCGCTGAGCCCCAAGGCAGGGCTTCCAGTGGCCCCAGCTGTGGATGAGGGCTTGACCAGTGGCCACAGTGACTGGTCAGTGGGCAGTGAAGAGAGCAAGGGTTACCAGGAGGTTATTCAGAGTATTGTTCAGGGGCCTGGAGCTTTGGGGCGCGTGGTGGACGACAGGGTTGCTGGCAAAGCCCCCAAGAAGAAATCTCTGAGTGATCCCAGCCGTCGTGGGGAGCTGGCTGGGCCTGGATTTGAAGGCCCTGGTGGGGAGCCCATCCGAGAAGTCGAGCCCATGCTGCCTCCATCTAGCAGTGAGCCCATTCTTGCAGAGCGGCGGGCAGAACCAGAAGAGCCCAGTGCTGCGAGGGGCCGGGCACAGTCTGAGAGGGCCCTACCCAAGACCCGAGCCACCTCCTCCACTGCCCACCGTGACTTCCACCTTGACCCAAAACTGGCTGATGTCCTGTCCCCACGGCTCATCCGACGGGGTTCCAAGAAGCGCCCAGCCCGGAGCAGTCATCAGGAACTACAGAGAGAGGAAGCCGATGAGGACCAGACTAGCCGTCTGTCTCGTGCCCGACCATCCTCCAAACACGTTCGCCATGCGAGTGTGCCCGCCACCTTCACACCTATTGTGGTGCCTGAGCCACCAACTTCCATTGGCCCCCCCGTGGCTGTGCCAGAGCCTGTGGGCTTCCCTGCCAGAGCCCACTCCACACTGCAGGCCCCATCACTCGAGGATGTCTCTAAGCAGTATATGCTGACCCTCCACTCTGGCGAGGTTCCTGCCCCAGTACCAGTGGATATGCCCTGCTTGACTCCTGTTGCACCGCCCTCTGCTGAGGCCAAGCCCCCCGAGACAGCCCGGGCTCCAGATGAGCCTGCCCAGGCCAGCAAGTGCTGCAGCAAGCCACAGGTGGTGAGTGCTTTTTGGGGGGTTCTGGGGGTGGTGGTGCAAAGAAGGGCCACGAGCGCTGACTTCCAGAGGAGCCTTTTGAGTGTGCTCATTGGGTAGCTGCCCAGATCTGAGGGTGCTTTTCTGGTACTGGAAGCCCAGGTGGTTTTAAGAGTGTTAATGACACAGGGTTCCTGTTAATGACTCAGGGCCCAAAGGCTGATGGTGCCGATGCCAAAGGTTCTTGCCTGCTTCGAGGTATTCTGGGTGATAATTACAAAAGGCTCTAATCTAGTCCTTTAGCTGTTTCTCAGGGACTGGTTTTAGAGATTTCTATCTGGTTCTTTTGTATAAATACACGAGGAGGCGTGAAGGTCTTCCTTAAGGTGAGCTGCCCTATTGGCCAGACCCTCACAGGAAGTTAGGGCCTGCAGCCCACAGGTGACATAGGTTTGTACTTCCTCATGTGGCTTTCCTATGGCAGATCAAAATGTGGGTTTGTCCCTGGGCCTGGGAGACTTGGAGAGGTTACAGGCATTACTTTATGGAGGAGCAGCAAAGACCCCATGGAGTACTCTGGTGGCCCTGGCCTTTCCCTGTGCCTCAACCTCCCAATCTGGAAAAGCAGGGGGTTGTGGACAAGGTACCTATGACTCCATCCAGCTGGTGCTGCACAGATTTGGGAGTTCCCAGTTGGAGTTGAAGCACTCTTGATTCTTGAGGTCTGCCAGCACCTCTTCTAATTAGAACAGGGGCTTGTAGGGGAGAGCAGGGA